ATAAATATAAATATATTTTTAATTAAGTAATCTATTTCCAGTGAATAAATAAAAATGTATGTATAAAATAATAAATAATTCAAAGAATTTCTGATTAGAGAGTGAGACCAAACAAGATACTATTGGCGTTAACTATACTACGGCAGTTATTTAATCTATGTTATTGAAATATGTTGTTAGATGATGGTTTATTTGAGGTCTATCAAATATATGTAACAAGTTTTTTTGATGAAACTATTTAGAAAATTTCACTTCAATGGTTACCAACTTTTTTGCAAATCATGAAGTAGGAATCTTATATTATTCAAATCCATTCCTAACTGGTGTTATCTTCTAAAAATTGGCTTAAATGTAGCTGTTAGATAAAATTAGAAAAAGGCAAATATCTTAAATCATTATGGATCTCTGGCAATTTCTATTGTTATTGCTCTCAATTGGTCAACCTGCATCAATGAAATTTTTAAATAAGAAGCATTTTTACTATAGCTCCTATCTATGATAGATTGTTACAGAATCTTCAAACTTTGCACTTACCATTGCCTTTCTCTGATGCCTTTGCCTTCGCTCCCGATCTCTTGCTCGCACGATGCTTATGCTGATGCTGCTGCTGCTGCTGCTGATGATCCTCGCCTTGCGGCTTTATCATGTGTCGCTGCAGCTGCAGCTGCTCCTTGCCAGTCGATGCTGATGATTTCTTGGAGCCCGGCTTGCGAGCACCAACCGCATCAGCGCGTTGCATTTGATTATTCGACTTGTTGGATTTCCTGTTGTTCTTCACGCGTTTATTTCCACCCGTTGTGGGAGTCGTTGCAGCTGGTATCAACTTATCCGGCTCGGCTTCACGCGCTGCACGCACCATCACATTCCCGGAGTAGCTTTTGAGGACCAAGCTGGCACCATTGGCCAGCTCTGTCAATGCTGCAGCATGGTTCTTGCCACCACCACCATGATGGCCATGGCCGTGACTCAATGATGTCTGCAGCGCCAATGCGGCCAACAGGCAGGGGACTAATGCCCGCAGAGTTATGCGAGTTGAAATCGACATTTCAGACCTGCTGGAAATATGATATGATGTTAGATATAAAGCTAATGAGCATGATGATGATGATGATCATATTGATTTCTGTGTGCTCCAGGCATTTTCAAATTTCATGGAGCCCGGATAACCTGAAAGCCCATAAATTGCGCGAGATTTTCTAAAAATAATATTCATTAGCTAAATCAAATCTGTTTATAAAAATATGGAAATAATAACATTATTTATATTTTATATATCATTGCACCAGAAATAAGCCAAAGGAAATCATGTTTGCTGCACATGTTCAACAGATGTGATCAACGGAGCTGCCATTATGGGAATGTTTTTATATGGATGCTGCTCTGAGCAGCTGCAGATGGATACCGAAAAAATAATCTGAATTTCAGAGGAACAATTTCAGTTGTTCATATTTGAGTTGTTCAAATGAAAATGATACTTGAAACTTGACTAAGTTGAGCTTGTTTACTTAAAGCTATACCCTCTGTGCAATATATATATCTTTCGCTCTGTATCCATCTCTCTCTCTCTCTCTCTCTTTTTCCATTGAAAGTTGTTTTCGGGTTAGGCCAAAGTTTTCAACTTTGTTGACTAGTTGCAAGTGCAAATTGTAAAAATGTTTTGTGGCCAGCTCTAGACTCTGGCACTTGTTCAGTTCGTGTTCTGTTCTGTTCGTTCGTTCGTTCGTTGTTTGTTTGCTTTAAGTTGTTGCTTTTGTTGCATTTGGAGAGCACTTAATTTATGCTTTTGTTGAAGCTTCAATGTTTTGGCTAGAGCCATGTCAAATGTTTTTTAGCTGAAATTTAGTTTATTAACTTTTTTGTTAACAACTAAAGAAGAAGAAAAACCAGCAGCTTTTCTGGTTACATAAAAGTGAGCTCTGTTGGGTACGTTGTTAAAGCTAAATGTTCACAAAGTTTTTCACATAAAATATATAAAGAGAAGTTGGAAAATAAAAAAAAATTACTAATTAGCAAAAATGAAATATAACAGAATTTGTAATAAACAAATAAATACAGTATTGCATATAAACTTAACAACTTTTCTGAGAAAATTTATAATAATTTTATTATTCAATTATTCAATTCAAATGTTAAGAATTTATTATTTTTGTATTTATTTT